AGAATTTATTAGAACTAACCATACTTTGCTAACTATTAATAGAGAACTTTTACAATGTTCTACAAAATGTTAAATTGTATACTGAAATGTAGCATGAACTATTTAGCTTTCACTTGAATTTTGTTGATTTTTTTCTACTGTTGTTAACTACCCTGTATATTGGGCTATAGTAATTTTTAATCTCATAAAAACCAAATACATTTGCATATACATAATTGTATGCCCTGTTTTATTCATATGCTATTCTGATGATGTATGGTATTTAACATTATTAATGGAGATATCCTTTTAAGCTCAAGAGTGGCAAGGACCAAAAGAACCTTTGTGCACTGTTCTCTTACAAATCCATCCAAATCAAGTGATGAAAATTTTGGACAGTCGGAGCACAGTGATTCGTACCATTGCCATACCAAGCCATAAAAGGTTTAATGTCATTCAATCTAATAATCATGGGTGCAGAACTTTGCTGGTCAAGGTGCCCAATGAGTATGATGTGGTAAGTATGCTGTCATTTGATATTTTAATGATTAATATTTTTTAATTAATCAATAAGCAATGATTATTATTAGAGATGAGCGAATCGAACATGGCGAAGTGGAATTCTTTTCGAAGTTCAGGAAAAATTCGATTCGCACCGAATCCGAAAATTAGCAAACTTCGGATGCACGAATCGAATTTTCCCAAAAATGGCGGCGACATGTGTGGCGACGGAGCGGGGATCTCTGGGAAGGCGCGCAGACAAGGTGCGCTGACCCATAATGCATTCATTCATGACATGTGATCGCATTAGCCAATCAGCAGCCAGCCAGCCAGCACTGTGTAATGGTGGAGCTATAAATTGCGGCCATATTACAATTTTCCATTAGCCTCCGGTCATTCAAGAGAGACAGACCTGTCTGTATTAGGGACAGAGTTAGGGCCAGAGAGACTTTAGGGCCACAGAATCGTTACTTAGGGACACAGAATCGTTACTCAGGGACACAGAATTGTTACTCAGGGACACAGAATTGTTACTCAGGGACACAGAATTCTTACTCAGGGACAGACACAGAATTGTTACTGAGGGACACAGAATTGTTACTGAGGGACACAGAATTGTTACTGAGGGACACAGAATTGTTACTCAGGGACAGACACAGAATTGTTACTCAGGGACACATAATTGTTACTCAGGGACACAGAATTGTTACTGACAGAATCGGGACACAGAATCGTTACTCAGGGACACAGAATCGTTACTCAGGGACACAGAATCGTCGTTACTCAGGGACACAGAATTGAATTGTTACTGAGGGACACAGAATCGTTACTCAGGGACACAGAACAGAATTGTTACTCAGGGACACAGAATTGTTACTCAGGGGGACACAGAATTGTTACTCAGGGACACAGAATTGTTACTGAGGGACACAGAATCGTTACTCAAGGACACAGAATTGTTACTCAGGGACACAGAATTGTTACTCAGGGACAGACACAGAATTGTTACTCAGGGACACAGAATCGTTACTCAGGGACACAGAATTGTTACTCAGGGACACAAAATTGTTACTCAGGGACACAGAATCGTTACTGAGGGACACAGAATCGTTACTGAGGGACACAGAATCGTTACTCAGGGACACAGAATTGTTACTCAGGGACAAAGAATTGTTACTCAGGGACACAGAATTGTTACTGAGGGACACAGAATCGTTACTGAGGGACACAGAATTGTTACTCAGGGACACAGAATTGTTACTCAGGGACACAGAATTGTTACTCAGGGACAGACACAGAATTGTTACTCAGGGACACAGAATTGTTACTGAGGGACACAGAATCGTTACTCAGGGACACAGAATCGTTACTCAGGGGCACAGAATTGTTACTCAGGGACAGAGAATTGTTACTCAGGGACACAGAATCGTTACTGAGGGACACAGAATCGTTACTGAGGGACACAGAATTGTTACTCAGGGACACAGAATTGTTACTGAGGGACACAGAATTGTTACTGAGGGACACAGAATCGTTACTGAGGGACACAGAATTGTTACTCAGTTACACAAAATTGTTACTCAGGGACAAAGAATTGTTACTCAGGGACACAGAATTGTTACTCAGGGAACACACAGAATTGTTACTCAGGGACACAGAATTGTTACTCAGGGACACAGAATCGTTACTGAGGGACACAGAATCGTTACTGAGGGACACAGAATTGTTACTCAGGGACACAGAATTGTTGCTCAGGGACACAGAATTGTTACTCAGGGGACACAGAATTGTTACTCAGGGACACAGAATTGTTACTGATGGACACAGAATCATTACTCAGGGACACCGAATCGTTACTCAGGGACACAGAATCGTTACTCAGGGACACAGAATCGTTACTCAGGGACACAGAATTGTTACTCAGGGACACAGAATTGTTACTGAGGGACAAAGAATCGTTACTCAGGGACACAGAATCGTTACTCAGGGACACAGAATCGTTACTCAGGGACACAGAATCGTTGAATTAAAGAGTATGTCAGACAACACGCAGAGGAGTGTCAGAGGAGGCAATGTTTCAGGAGCGAGCAGACGTGGCAGCAGAGGAAGGGGTCGAGGCAGCACTAGTCGCAAGCCAGAGGCCAGTGCTCCCGGTGTCATCCAGCGGTCGTGTCTCCACCGACAACCCTGCCGTCATCGATTGGTTGGCTCGGTCGTCTTCCTCTTCCCAGGTCACCTCTGACACCTACAGCCAACGGTCAGTGGGTACGTCAGACACAACCGTTAGTTGGCATGGCCCGGGAGCAAGCCCACTGAAATCACGTGTCCTCTACCTGCCCCTGTCCTTTTGGTGTTCCCTCACCAAGCGAAGTATCGCATGCTGTGGGCTCAGCCCCACTGTACAGTGAGGAAGAGCTAACAGAGGGCGGTCAGGAACGAGGGGAGACATCCGCCTCTTCAGCAGCCAGGCGAAGAAGTACTGGCGAGGAGAGTGGCTCGGTAGCCGGTCTAGAGACAGGTCTGTCTCCTGACCCACACACAGCCGAGGGGGTTAGTAGTGAGGCCGAGACCCTAATTGATGATGATGAGGCTGATCGCACTTGGAAGCCTCGTCGGCATCTGCCAGGCCCGTAATCTGCCATGGGCCCCCGTACCGACTCCTCATGCTGCTGCCAGGCCCGTAATCTGCCATGGGCCCCTGTACCGCCTCCTCATGCTGCTGCCAGGTCCAGAGTGTGTCATGGGTCCCTGTACGGCCTCCCATTGCTGCTGTCTCCATCGCCACACTCTGCCATGTGCCACTTTCAGGTCTCCTCACACTGATGGTGGGTTTTAATTTTGTCATAGGGTGCTGGCAGATTACGGGCCTCCCATTGCTGCTGCCAGGCCCGTAATCTGCCATGGGCCCCGTACCGACTCCTCATGCTGCTGCCAGGCCCGTAATCTGTCATGGGCCCCTGTACCGCCTCCTCATGCTGCTGCCAGGTCCAGAGTGTGTCATGGGTCCCTGTACGGCCTCCCATTGCTGCTGTCTCCATCGCCACACTCTGCCATGTGCCACTTTCAGGTCTCCTCACACTGCTGGTGGGTTCCATTTTGTCATAGGGTGCTGGCAGATTACGGGCCTCCCATTGCTGCTACCAGGCCCGTAATCTGCCATTGGCCCCCGTACCGACTCCTCATGCTGCTGCCAGGCCCGTAATCTGTCATGGGCCCCTGTACCGCCTCCTCATGCTGCTGCCAGGTCCAGAGTGTGTCATGGGTCCCTGTACGGCCTCCCATTGCTGCTGTCTCCATCGCCACACTCTGCCATGTGCCACTTTCAGGTCTCCTCACACTGCTGGTGGGTTCCATTTTGTCATAGGGTGCTGGCAGATTACGGGCCTCCCATTGCTGCTGCCAGGCCCGTAATCTGCCATGGGCCCCTGTATACCGTACCGCCTCCTCATGCTGCTGCCAGGTCCAGAGTGTGTCATGGGTCCCTGTACGGCCTCCCATTGCTGCTGTCTCCATCGCCACACTCTGCCATGTGCCACTTTCAGGTCTCCTCACACTGCTGGTGGGTTCCATTTTGTCATAGGGTGCTGGCAGATTACGGGCCTCCCATTGCTGCTGCCAGGCCCGTAATCTGTCATGGGCCCCTGTACCGCCTCCTCATGCTGCTGCCAGGGTCCAGAGTGTGTCATGGTCCCTGTACGGGCCTCCCATTGCTGCTGTCTCCATCGCCACACTCTGCCATGTGCCACTTTCAGGTCTCCTCACACTGCTGGTGGGTTCCATTTTGTCATAGGGTGCTGGCAGATTACGGGCCTCACATTGCTGCTGCCAGGCCCGTAATCTGCCATGGGCCTCTGTACCGCCTCCTCATGCTGCTGCCAAGTCCAGAGTGTGTCATGGGTCCCTGTACGGCCTCCCATTGCTGCTGTCTCCATCGCCACACTCTGCCATGTGCCACTTTCAGGTCTCCTCACACTGCTGGTGGGTTCCATTTTGTCATAGGGTGCTGGCAGATTACGGGCCTCCCATTGCTGCTGCCAGGCCCGTAATCTGTCATGGGCCCCTGTACCGCCTCCTCATGCTGCTGCCAGGTCCAGAGTGTGTCATGGGTCCCTGTACGGCCTCCCATTGCTGCTGTCTCCATCGCCACACTCTGCCATGTGCCACTTTCAGGTCTCCTCACACTGCTGGTGGGTTCCATTTTGTCATAGGGTGCTGGCAGATTACGGGCCTCCCATTGCTGCTGCCAGGCCCCGTAATCTGTCATGGGCCCCTGTACCGCCTCCTCATGCTGCTGCCAGGTCCAGAGTGTGTCATGGGTCCCTGTACGGCCTCCCATTGCTGCTGTCTCCATCGCCACACTCTGCCATGTGCCACTTTCAGGTCTCCTCACACTGCTGGTGGGTTCCATTTTGTCATAGGGTGCTGGCAGATTACGGGCCTCCCATTGCTGCTGCCAGCCCGTAATCTGCCATGGGCCCCCGTACCGACTCCTCATGCTGCTGCCAGGCCCGTAATCTGTCATGGGCCCCTGTACCGCCTCCTCATGCTGCTGCCAGGTCCAGAGTGTGTCATGGGTCCCTGTACGGCCTCCATTTGCTGCTGTCTCCATCGCCACACTCTGCCATGTGCCACTTTCAGGTCTCCTCACACTGCTGGTGGGTTCCATTTTGTCATAGGGTGCTGGCAGATTACGGGCCTCCCATTGCTGCTGCCAGGCCGGTAATCTGTCATGGGCCCCTGTACCGCCTCCTCATGCTGCTGCCAGGTCCAGAGTGTGTCATGGGTCCCTGTACGGCCTCTCCATTGCTGCTGTCTCCATCGCCACACTCTGCCATGTGCCACTTTCAGGTCTCCTCACACTGCTGGTGGGTTCCATTTTGTCATAGGGTGCTGGCAGATTACGGGCCTCCCATTGCTGCTGCCAGGTCCGTAATCTGCCATGGGCCCCCGTACCGACTCCTCATGCTGCTGCCAGGCCCGTAATCTGTCATGGGCCCCTGTACCGCCTCCTCATGCTGCTGCCAGGTCCAGAGTGTGTCATGGGTCCCTGTAAGGCCTCCCATTGCTGCTGTCTCCATCGCCACACTCTGCCATGTGCCACTTTCAGGTCTCCTCACACTGCTGGTGGGTTCCATTTTGTCATAGGGTGCTGGCAGATTACGGGCCTCCCATTGCTGCTGCCAGGCCCGTAATCTGCCATGGGCCCCCGTACCGACTCCTCATGCTGCTGCCAGGCCCGTAATCTGTCATGGGCCCCTGTACCGCCTCCTCATGCTGCTGCCAGGTCCAGAGTGTGTCATGGGTCCCTGTACTGCCTCCCATTGCTGCTGTCTCCATCGCCACACTCTGCCATGTGCCACTTTCAGGTCTCCTCACACTGCTGGTGGGTTCCATTTTGTCATGGCAGATTTTGCCCGTAATCTGGGCCCCTGTACCGCCTCCTCATGCTGCTGCCAGGATCATGGGTCCCTGTACGGCCGGGCTCCATCGCCACACTCTGCCATGTGCCACTTTCAGGTCTCCCACACTGCTGCTGGTGGGCTGCCATTTTGTCATAGGGTGCTGGCAGATTACGGGCCTCCCATTGCTGCTGCCAGGCCCCTAATCTGCCATGGGCCCCTGTACCGCCTCCTCATGCTGCTGCCAGGTCCAGAGTGTGTCATGGGTCCCTGTACGGCCTCCCATTGCTGCTGTCTCCATCGCCACACTCTGCCATGTGCCACTTTCAGGTCTCCTCACACTGCTGGTGGGTTCCATTTTTTGTCATAGGGTGCTGGCAGATTACGGGCCAGGCCCCATTGCTGCTGCCAGGCCCGTAATCTGTCATGGGCCCCTGTACCGCCTCCTCATGCTGCTGCCAGGTCCAGTGTGTGTCATGGGTCCCTGTACGGCCTCCCATTGCTGCTGTCTCCATCGCCACACTCTGCCATGTGCCACTTTCAGGTCTCCTCACACTGCTGGTGGGTTCCATTTTGTCATAGGGTGCTGGCAGATTACGGGCCTCCCATTGCTGCTGCCAGGCCCGTAATCTGTCATGGGCCCCTGTACCGCCTCCTCATGCTGCTGCCAGGTCCAGAGTGTGTCATGGGTCCCTGTACGGCCTCCCATTGCTGCTGTCTCCATCGCCACACTCTGCCATGTGCCACTTTCAGGTCTCCTCACACTGCTGGTGGGTTCCATTTTGTCATAGGGTGCTGGCAGATTACGGGCCTCCCATTGCTGCTGCCAGGTCCGTAATCTGCCATGGGCCCCCGTACCGACTCCTTATGCTGCTGCCAGGCCCGTAATCTGTCATGGGCCCCTGTACTGCCTCCTCATGCTGCTGCCAGGTCCAGAGTGTGTCATGGGTCCCTGTACGGCCTCCCATTGCTGCTGTCTCCATCGCCACACTCTGCCATGTGCCACTTTCAGGTCTCCTCACACTGCTGGTGGGTTCCATTTTGTCATAGGGTGCTGGCAGATTACGGGCCTCCCATTGCTGCTGCCAGGCCCGTAATCTGCCATGGGCCCCCGTACCGACTCCTTATGCTGCTGCCAGGCCCGTAATCTGTCATGGGCCCCTGTACCGCCTCCTAATGCTGCTGCCAGGTCCAGAGTGTGTCATGGGTCCCTGTACGGCCTCCCATTGCTGCTGTCTCCATCGCCACACTCTGCCATGTGCCACTTTCAGGTCTCCTCACACTGCTGGTGGGTTCCATTTTGTCATAGGGTGCTGGCAGATTACGGGCCTCCCATTGCTGCTGCCAGGTCCGTAATCTGCCATGGTCCCCCGTACCGACTCCTCATGCTGCTGCCAGGCCCGTAATCTGTCATGGGCCCCTGTACCGCCTCCTCATGCTGCTGCCAGGTCCAGAGTGTGTCATGGGTCCCTGTACGGCCTCCCATTGCTGCTGTCTCCATCGCCACACTCTGCCATGTGCCACTTTCAGGTCTCCTCACACTGCTGGTGGGTTCCATTTTGTCATAGGGTGCTGGCAGATTACGGGCCTCCCATTGCTGCTGCCAGGCCCGTAATCTGCCATGGGCCCCCGTACCGACTCCACATGCTGTGACGTTGCAACAAGGTGGAATTCAACCCTACATATGTTAGACCGCCTTACAAACAGCGAAAGGCCATCACCGATTTCCTGATGTTACAAGCGGATAAGGTACTCCCCTGTGTAACTTAGATGTCAGCCATTGGCAGCTCATGCGTGACACCTGCCGCTTGCTCAGGCCCTTTGAGGAGGCCACGCTATTCGTGAGTCGGCAGGACTATGGGATGAACGACGTCATTCCTCTGTTGCACGTCCTGGAACAAATGCTGTTAACAATGGCTGGTCAGGGTGCGGTAGACGTGGCGCACAGATCTCAACGCCACATGACCTCTGTGGGGGCAGGACAGGAAGAAGAGGAGGAGGTAGAGGAGGACATTGGTGCTCAGGAATTATTGAGTGAAATGGGTGGTTTTTCCACTCAGCGGACAGGAGTGGAGGAGCAGGAGCATCTGGTAGAGGAGGAGGAGGAGACAGAGGACCCAGACGCACCGTGGCAGTATGCTGTGGAGATGGAGGCAGGGAGTCCCTCGCATTCCTTTGCACAAATGGCCCATAGCATGCTCGGTTGCTTGCGTAGCGACAGCCGAATAATAACCATGAGACAGAGGGATGACTTTTGGCTGTCCACCTTGTTGGACCCTCGCTACCGTTCAAAAATGGTGGCCTTTTTCACACCTGCTGAGAGGGAGGCCAAAATAACGTACTATAAAAACCACCTATGTAGTCAGTTGGTCTCTGCTTTTGTGCGCCAACGTCCATCCTCAGACACTGTGGGCCCTGTGCGCTCGCGTTCCGCTGCCATGGCAGCAGGGGAGGGGGGGTAGGAGCAGTGGCAGCTCCACCAGCAGCGGCTGCCTCAGTCTGCAGTCGATGATGAGTAGCTTTCTTCACCAGCGCAGTGAGGAAACTACTAACCAGCCGCAGCAGCAGCAGCATCAGGTGGACCTGGAGCAGGACCTCAAACAACAGGCTTGGGCCTACTTGGACAGCACCCTGCCAACCGAGGTAGACAATCCCCTTGACTACTGGGCAACAAAACTTGACCTTTGGCCCCAACTAGCTGAATTTGCCCTTGAAAGGCTGTCATGCCCGGCCAGTAGCGTGGCATCGGAGCGCGTGTTTAGTGCGGCAGGAGGTATTGTAACTCCGCGGAGGACACGACTGTCCACCCAAAGTGTGGAGAGACTCACGTTTGTGAAAATGAATCAGGCGTGGATTAGTCTGGATTTCAAACCATCAGTTCCTGACACAACTGACTACTAAATCCGCCATGAATCATGCCCCAAACATGTTATTATTTTTAACATAGGCCTCTGTATGGCCTTCAATTTAAGCTGCTTACGCTTCGCCACTCTGCCATGGGCCCCTGTACCGCCTCCTCATGCTGCTGCCAGGTCCAGAGTGTGTCATGGGTCCCTGTACGGCCTCCCATTGCTGCTGTCTCCATCGCCACACTCTGCCATGTGCCACTTTCAGGTCTCCTCACACTGCTGGTGGGTTCCATTTTGTCATAGGGTGCTGGCAGATTACGGGCCTCCCATTGCTGCTGCCAGGCCCGTAATCTGCCATGGGCCCCCGTGCCGACTCCTCATGCTGCTGCCAGGCCCATAATCTGTCATGGGCCCCTGTACCGCCTCCTCATGCTGCTGCCAGGTCCAGAGTGTGTCATGGGTCCCTGTACGGCCTCCCATTGCTGCTGTCTCCATCGCCACACTCTGCCATGTGCCACTTTCAGGTCTCCTCACACTGCTGGTGGGTTCCATTTTGTCATAGGGTGCTGGCAGATTACGGGCCTCCCATTGCTGCTGCCAGGCCCGTAATCTGCCATGGGCCCCCGTACCGACTCCTCATGCTGCTGCCAGGCCCGCAATCTGTCATGGGCCCCTGTACCGCCTCCTCATGCTGCTGCCAGGTCCAGAGTGTGTCATGGGTCCCTGTACGGCCTCCCATTGCTACTGCCAGGCCCGTAATCTTCCATGGGCCCCCGTACCGACTCCTCATGCTGCTGCCAGGCCCGTAATCTATCATGGGCCCCTGTACCGCCTCCTCATGCTGCTGCCAGGTCCAGAGTGTGTCATGGGTCCCTGTACGGCCTCCCATTGCTGCTGTCTCCATCGCCACACTCTGCCATGTGCCACTTTCAGGTCTCCTCACACTGCTGGTGGGTTCCATTTTGTCATAGGGTGCTGTATGGCCTCCCATTGCTGCTGCCAGGCCCGTAATCTGCCATGGGCCCCCGTACCGACTCCTCATGCTGCTGCCAGGCCCGTAATCTGTCATGGGCCCCTGTACCGCCTCCTCATGCTGCTGCCAGGTCCAGAGTGTGTCATGGGTCCCTGTACGGCCACCCATTGCTGCTGTCTCCATCGCCACACTCTCCCATGTGCCACTTTCAGGTCTCCTCACACTGCTGGTGGGTTCCATTTTTTCATAGGGTGCTGTATGGCCTCCCATTGCTGCTGCCTCCACCGCCACACTGTGGTTCCACACTCTGGTTTTGGCCCCGTGACTGCCCAAATGAGTGAAGTGTGCGGTGATTCTAAGATCGACGGCACTCATCTGCATGTCATACTGACAGTATTATTTCTCTTCCCCAGCAGACTCCAAAGGGCATTTAAATTAAAGGTACAGTGTTCTGCACTAATATAAAGGCTCTCTGAAGCCTAGAAACACCCTTTTTATAAGTTAAATTTGCAGCGAATATATTCGACTCGAATCATATTTATTCCGCGAATTCGCCGAATCAGCCGAATCGAATTTTTGAATAATTCGCTCATCTCTAATTATTATATACACTGCTCAAAAAAATTTAGGGAACACTTTGAAAACACATCAGATCTCAATGGGGACAAAAATCATGCTCAATAGCTATACTGATATGGACTGGGTAATTTGTTAGGAATGTAAAGATGCCTCATCGTTTGATGGAAATGAAAATTATCAACCTACAGAGGACTGAATTCAAAGACACCCTGAAAATCAAAGTGAAAAAAAATGATGCAGCAGGCTAGTCCATTTTGATGAAATAGTACTCAGTTGTTTGTATGGCCCCCAGCTTGTATGCATGCCTGACAATATTGGGGCATGCTCCCAATGAAACGACGGATGGTGTCCT